CCCGCCTCGGCGGCCCCACCTGACCCTCGCGAGTCGCCCGGCCGCAGCCATCCGCCCTCCCGGATCCAGGCCCCGACCTGCCCGCCCTCTCCTGCCGGCGCCTCCGCCTCCGCCTCGGACCCCAGCCCAGCTCCCCGGCCCGTAGGAGTCCCTGGGAACTCCAGCCTCCCTGGCGCGGCAGCGTCCCACCGGCCCGTCGCTCCGCTCCGCCCCGAGCCGGCCCGTCTGCGTTCTCCGCGGGCGCTTCAGCCCCCGTGCAGCTGACCACACTTGTTGCTGCCCAGAACTTCCTCCTCCCGCGGCGGCTTCTACCTACGCTCTACCGCTCACGTCAGAGGAAGCGGGGGACAGCAGGTCCCTCGGCCGGCGCCACCTCTCCTCCCCGCCCAAGAGGAGGGAGCAGGAAGAGGAGGAAGGCGGCAGCACGAAGACACGCCAGCGACGGAAGGGGGGGACGGGGTCCCGGCGCTCCCCCTCCTTCTCCCTTCCTCCCTCCCCTCCCTTCCTCCCTCCCCCGGAGGTAAGTAGCGCGGTCTCGCCTCTTTGGGGGGTGGGGGGAGGGTTGCAAAGTTCGGTCTCTTTCCTAATTAGATACCGGGAGGTACGGTTTTGGGTGGGAGGAGCGGGTGGACGGGGCTCGATGTTCAGCCTCTTTGTGTTTTTCGTGCTGGGGGAGAGGGGGAATGTCTCCTCCGGGAGAGGAGGAAGAGAGAAGGTGCAACAGGTCTAAAGCCAAGAGGGAATGATGTTTGGAGCATACTCTTAAATTTGGGCAAAGGCGGGAATCGGTAGTTCTGCGGGCCTTCAGAAACGATCCCCCCTCGCCAGTGTTGTCTGGGGTGGAGGAAGGAAGGAGTGCTATTGAACATGTCCAAAGGAGGATCGGCATCCTGTGTGCCATTCAGCATGGGGCTTGAGAATCTTAGTTTGGGGCCAGATGGAACGGTTGAGGCCGTGGGCATATCTGTTGCTAGCATGGGAGTGCATTCGTTGATCCGAGCTAGGGATCCATAGTTGCTGTGTCTAATGATGGCATGACTTAATTTGCATAGGCTTTACTGTTAGTTTATTTGTAGGCTGAATGTATAAGGAATATTCTTACCATATGGGTTCCCATGATTCCTTGGTATCCAGAAGTGGAAGGCACTTTTTGTCTGGTGTTGTTTTACAGAGATGAGTATAGTACGTTTTAAAGTGGTAACAGATCCTTAAATGATGATGATACCTATATCATCAAGGGCACGAACATGTGCTTGGTGAGTGACCCCCAAACCTGGAATTCTCCCCAGCAGTAAATTTCTCAGAACCTGAGCCTGTGCATATTTTGGAAGCAGTCTTATCTATTTTGCCTGGCCTTTGGAGTTCAGAGTTTAGTTGTGAAGAGGTGGGGAAATTTAATTTATCTATATGTTGTCTTAATCTGTTTTATGGATGGACGTTTGTGGTTGTTTGTGTGGAGGTTTGTTTGTTTTTTTGGCAAGTCTTTGGGATGAGATGGGCATATTTAAATAAGGAAGTAAGGAAACATTGGTTTTTAGAAGTGATGAAACCAAAGGCAAAAAACCCCTCAACTGCCAAAAAAGATAGAGGGAAAAGTGACTGTTATTGTAAATGAAAAACTGTCATTTTCCATGCTGTCTTTTGCTTCAAGAGCTGCTAAAAATCAACACACCGAAAAATATATGCTGGTTAGGAGTCAATGAGTTCGGTTCAGCTCCTGATGACTGCATGGAGAAATGTTTGCCATTTCAGCTTGTCTCTAGTAATAACTTGTAGCTCTTCTGGGGACAATTTGTACTTACTTTGATCCCATTCATCCACCTTGTCTGCTGTCTTTTCCTTCTATTTCCCTCAATTTACCAGGCATAGCCATTTTTTTTTTTTGTCATCTCACATGTCTAAAGCATGTGAGTTTCTGCTTGCTGATCATCCCTTTCAGATAGCAGTCACTCTTCATTTGGTCAAAGACTAATTGTTTGGTTCTTTCTGTGGTCCATGGTACTCTTAATAACCATCTCCATAATTCAAAGGTGTCTATCTCCTTTCTCTCACTCTTTCTCATTGTCCAATGTTCACTGCCATGCCTTATCACTGGAAAGACCATTGCTTTTATCGTTCTGATTTTTGTTGTCATAGGAATATACTTACCTTTCATGATCTTGTCTAAGTTTGTTATTGCTTTCCTCCCTATTAATCTGTGTTTCTCTAGCATGCTGTCCATCTTTATTCTTGAGCTAAAGATAACAAAACTATCCAGCATCTTTGTTTCTTCAAAATCAGTGGTGAATTCACTAAATATGTTGGTTGACATCACCATTTTTTCATATTTAAAAATAAACCATATTTTTTACTTTCCATTTTTTGCTTTCATAATTAGCTGTTCTTCCAACTAACAAAGTGCTGTAGTCTGCATATCTCAAATAGATATTGTCACAGCCACTTCTTTTGATTCTAGCTTCCTGTCATATGTTCCAGTCCCAGTGTTTTTATAATATGTTCACCATATACGTTAAACAGATATGCGAACAATATATTTTGTGTGTGTGTATTGCAAATTTATTTTTTACAATAGTTTCATATTTGTAGTAAAAAATCCCTCAGAAAAATAATCAGATGTTCTGGCATACCCATTAGTCTTAATATATTCCATTCTGGTATGATCTATGAATCAAAAGCCTTCTTGTATCCAATAAAGAAAAGGTAGACATCCTTCTTATATTCTCTTGCTGTGTCCATTATCTTGTATCAACTATTGATTCTGCCTGTTGCAAAACCTGCCTATCCATTTGATGTTTCTTTTTGTATGTATAACTCTATTGTTCTTTGTAAGATCTTAAGCTTGTGCCATAGTTTAATAATTTGTGCATTCTCTTGCATGTCCCTGCTTTGGTGTCACACCAATCTTTTCTAGTCTCTAAGATGTAGCCTCGTTCCTTATTTGTTGATAGAGAGTTGCTAGCACTTTAATGGCCTTCTTCTGCAGCTTAAAACAGTTCATTGGGTATTTCATCTGCTTCTGATGCTTTTCTGTTTGACAAATGTTTTGTTGCCTGTAACGCCTCACCTGTCATACTTCTTTCTCTACAAATGTTTCTGTCATTGTATAATCCTGTTTGTAAAGAAATTCAGTATAGCCTTTCTAATTTCCTTTCCACCTGTATTAGATCTCTTTCACAATGGAACAACCTCTCCCCTGAGATCCAGACAACCCCTACCCTCTAGGCCTTCTGGAAGGCCTTGAGGACCTGGCTCTTCCCCCGGGCACTGGGTCAGGATGTAAGTTGAGCCCAATATATGTGTAGTTGTTATGAGGTTGTTACGAGCCTAGTTAGAGTGTGTTAGTCTTTAATTTGGGGTGGAAAAGTTGTTTGTATTTTTAAAATATATTACAGGGTTTGATTGTTGTTAGCTGCCCAGGGTTACATTGTGGCCATCTAAATATTAGTAATGATAATAACAGCAACAACTCTTGAGTATTCCTATCTTAGGTGTAAATTTTCCAATGATTTCTCTGATCTTAGAAACATATCTTATTTCATTTTCTTATTTTCTTAATTAATTAATTAGAATTTTTGACTAAGATATTTTTCTGTGTCCTTTCTTGCTTGACATTGGAAGTCTGCGTTCAGTCATCTTATGCTGTCGTTATCCAAGGCTTTCATTCTCTGGCTTTCTTTGGTTATCATGATAGTTTGTTTTGAAAGCCAGCTATATCTTTTCATCCATGAATTTTTTCCCACTTTGGTTTTTACAACATCTCTTTTCTCTTCCCATGGTTCCTCGGGTTCTCCTTTGCATAAGTTACATGTACTTATATTGCTCTTATATTTTGTCTGTAATTTTTCCAAGTCAAATCTTGTTGACCTGCTGTCTAATTTTCTAAATTTGACCCATATACTGAATGTCAGTAATTCATGGTCTTTTCCATAATGTGTACCTCAGAGTGTTTTAGCTGGCTGGATTGTACTTGTCCATCTTCTGTTTTCTGCTGTCTAGTCAGTTTGATGCCAACATTGTGCATCCAAACATGTCCATGTGTCGAGCCTGTGTTTAAGTTGCTTGATGCAAGTGTTGGTAATAAGCAACGAATTACTCTCTACCAAACCTGCACTACTCCATTTACCCATCCCAAATCTTCTGGTAATTCAAGGTCTTTCCGTTTCTTCAACTTTCTTTTTACAATTATAAATTAATAATTGTAAAAAGAAAGTTAATAATTATTAAAAAGTTAATAATTATTAAAATTAATAATTTATAATATAATTCATAATATAAACTCTCACTCATGGCCTTCCAGAAGGATATGAAGACCTGGCTCTGCTATCTGGCCTGGGGCGAGGAGGGGAATCAGTGTGGGGTTGGCTAGTCCCTTAGTGGCCTGGCGTTGCTGCCTTGAACCATTGGCCTCCTGG